CACTTAGTTTTTGTGCGATTTTCTTCTTATGTTTTCCTCATATTTTCTGTTGAGTCTTGTTATTTTTTTGGTGTCAGACTAGCACTCCTGAATATTCCATGAACTCCATTTAATGATAAATAAAGCAAAAAATATTACATTTTATGGCTAATCTGACCCTTATACACATGATGAGGTAAAGTGGAATAAGAGAAAACTTCTTAGAGTTTAAAAAGTTATCTTATTTGAGGAATTATATACTGGCAAAAATGGTTTCATGCTGTATAGCAAGTGCAATAATTGAACTGTGTTCAGCTTTAGGACATATATTTCATGATATCATACTTTTGCAAAATAGATTTTAAGTCAGTTAATATTTTTTGCATTGTATCAAGTAATGACAATTTAAACATATTTTTGTTGCTTTATGATCAACAAAACATGCAAAAATGTCAGTGAAAAGTCAGTGACCAATGCTTTTTGCTGTTCTAAAATCACTAAAATTTTGAACTTTCCAATGAGCAAAAATAGAAAAAATCTGTTGTTCAGTTTATGTTGAGTTTTAGTACACCCTGTTAATAGTTAATACCTCCAATTCTAACATGTTTCCCAGCTTTTATTAAAAACAAAGTCAGTGATACAAACTTTTTAATTGGAAAAATAACACACTTGAATTAAAACAAATATATACACTACATGATTGAATTCCCCACTCTAAATAACTACCTAATAATGCTTTATAGTTTGAGTGATCTTGATCTATTTTTTGTCTTTTGTCAAGATGCTGGCCCTGCTGGTATACATTACCCTATCCAGCATATCCATGGCTACGTTGGACATGCAATTGGTGGTGCATGTATGGTAACTTTGGTTCACCCTGGCCATACTGGCACTGCTATGGTTGCTCATGGACGATCGGGAAATAAGATGCACGCCTTCAACAGATTATGAGTATCGATGATGACAAATGGACAAAGACCATGATTTCAAGGAAATCTCATTCATGTCATTACATTTAAAGTAGATTGCAATAGATTGAAATATTGAATGTAATGAGATCAAAATGATTGTTACATTTGAATAAATTCAAAACTTGTATGTAGCAAATCATATTACTTGTACTGTTATTTTGAATATATGTTATGAATGGTTTATATTTTATCCATTTATCCTGCTAAATTGACACAAGGTTACATTGGAAAGTGACAAACTTCAATGGAAAATATATGTATTAAAAGTGAGTTCCCAGGCCTGTATCCAGAATTTTCCAAGGGGGGTTCACTTTTCCCAAAAATTCTAGGGGGGAGGGTTCACTTTGGCAAATTTGGCTAAAAATCACTCAAAAAATAGTCAGAATGGTGAAAAAATGCATGATTTTGAAAGAAATTTTGGCCAGAGGGGTTCGCCCAAAACCCCCAAACCCCCCTGGCTACGGGCCTGGTTCCCCTAGGGAAATTGTTATAATTCAATATTCATGTCATGTCACCTATTAACTAAATCATACTTTTACCTTAAAACTTGATGTGCAAAATGTTACCAAAAACTGATCTGATTTTTTACAATGGTGTTCTGGTTTGTCGTAAATTATAGTAGTAAAAAATTATATCCTTTCTATCACTTTCAAAGAGTATTGGGACTCAATACCTTCTCTAGCTGATATTATCATGCAGCGTTAAAACCCATCAGTTACATTACCCTAAGCACTCCAGATCATAAGTTACTGATGTAAATTTTTGAGATTTAGTTCTCAAATGTACCTTTTCTAGCCATCTTAAAATGTGTGGATGTTATGAAATAATAGTCTTTGTAACAGTTGTAGCCTCATATTGAATAGCAGACAACTAGACATCAAGATTGCAAGAAAACCAAAAAGGGACTCATAAGATATTTTGATCTTTTGAAGATCAATGAAAGATCTATGACCTGTTTCCATTTTTCAACATACTACCCCCCCCCCCCAGGATATCAGCAGCCCTCCTATCTTTTGTTTCATTGCAAGGCATTCTACCATTTACAGGTGACATCCAGGTTAAAATGAATATTGTACTTTGTTGTTTATTTATATAAGGGGACATCTAATGCTTACAGCGCTTTGCCCCTTGTAATTGTATCTTAATGATTTGTGCTTACAATAAATATGAAAGATGATAAAAAAAAATGAAAGATCAATTATAAAAACAAATGTAATTAAAGTATGAATTCCTTATAACTTGTATCAGTAGAATGCCCATCCTAGCTGCCATTCTTGGAAATGCTGTTCTCGGCTTGTGATGTTTAAACATAAGAAAATGAACACCTAAAATACCTACAAAGGTGATATTGAGGGCAGACAGTGAATCAGATATGTTAGTATAATAATACAGTTGTAGAAGTTTGGTGTCACTGTCAGAATGTCAATAATACCAGACTCACAAACTACTAGTTAATACACCAGAATCCCATCTTTCTACAAGTACTAAACTTTAACATCAGTGATGTTACCACCCAAGATTATCATCTATAGATTTACAGACCAGTTTTGATATCACAACAGAAAATGACCTACAACTAAATGTCCAATCGCTATCACATGAAAATACCATCTGCTACTCTCAAAACTTGTATGTAGCAAGTCATATTACTTGTACTGTTATTTGGAATATATGTTATGAATGGTTTCTCGGTAGCCAGTATTGATGAGCACTTTGTGAGACCCGAAAAAGGTAATATTGTTGATCAAACTTTGGTATTTATGGTATGTCTATAAATGGTCAGAATTGCAGACTGCTATGCTATTTAACCTGATTCTGGGTATGGAGTAGAGATTTGAAAACTGAGCCTTTCTAATCATAAAGCACTCATATGTTTGAAAAATGACAATGTCGCAGATATTTTACAAATTAACGCACTGTTACATTTGCTTTCAATAACATATTCAAATAATTGTTTTTATGACCTGACAGTTTTAAAATCACAATCATGAAATGTCATATATGATGTTTAACAATTTACAACAAAAATGCATAATCTAAAATAGCATGTATAAATTGCTGTTTCAATTTATCACCTTCCTAGATATTTCAATTCTTGAAAAAGTTAAAAGATATTGAACAATATAACACAACTCACAATAACATCTATGAATGAAAAGTATCCAAAGCGCCAACATCCAAATTCTCAGTCATAAGTACGTATTTGATGAGATGCTGAAACCTGGGAAAATTTGTTAAGTTTTGCCAAAAGGTTTGCTTTCTACCTACATGTTTAATATAAGTGTTTGTCCAAACACAGCTTTCTAATGGTGTCATAGTGATCATTTGCATGAACAGCATATCATGACATTATACTTTGAAATACAAAGAGTATAATATGTTTTGAGATAACATGATGAGAAACACGATACAATGGAAGAGCATGGATCAAGAGGTCATGAAGCTCTTCAGAAAAAAATATTGATATATTACATCTTTATCATGATTATCCAGTTTTGGCAGTCATACAAACCCCAGATAACACCCTAAATGATATAGGAAAAAAATCATACCTCAATCTTACTATTCTTGCCAGATAATACTGCATGTATAAGACCATCGTAAAATTTGTTTTCGAGCTGTGGAGCGCCTCATTTCACGATTGGACCAATCAGATCATGCCATGCATATGAGACGCATGAGCTATAACCATGAAGAGAAAGTGGAATTTCACCTTCATAACCTGGTGAATATAATCAGCTTATAGTAGGACTTCCCACAACCATGGTTAAGAGGCATGGTACACTGTATGTGTATTACATGTATATAGAAATTTCAAGGATAGCATTGAAGGGAATATGTACAAAAAGATCGCTCGGAGAGATATAGGAATGAAAGATATACCAAATATTCCATTCTATTGAGGTGAATACATGTTCATCTTTCCCTCAGTATATTTCCCGCAGCCCTAAGGTACGGTAAGTGTATTTCTTTTAACCATTTAATGCATAGATACAATACATGTGCTCATCAGAATAACCACTCTAACTACAGCCACTCTTAGATGCAAGATATTGCCATCTTTCATCCTCAAAAGTCACACGTGCAAGATGACTTGTGACATCACTGGTTTATAAACATCAAGAACATGGCAACGGATTCACAATTGCTATGAGTACCCATGCTCATACTACAAATATAAGCTGTGACGTCATAATAATGAAGTTTTGTTGCCGTGCGTATCCAAGTATTTTCTACAATATTGTTGTGACGTCATAACAAAAACATAACATCCGGGACTTTCTACCGTGGTATATACTCTGTGGTATATACATCGTGGTATATACAGTTGAAAACGAGGCTGCGGCTGGAGACTGCAGGAAACGATGAAATACAACCTAATATTTTTAATCATGTGATCGGTTCTTATCCAATGAGAAAACGAGAAACATTTCAATGATATAATAAATCTTAATATAAAAAAATCTCTGAATATATTGTAGTAGTGCAGTATTTAGTCATTATGATTATATTATAGTATAGGACGTGATTGAAACTATGACCTTTCACCACAACTACATATATGCAATCAATTTCAAAGAATATTTCATGACTTAAAAGTCATGCAGAAACATTTTCCTCCTTGATAATCATGAAAAAATGTTTTACTTCCTCACCTAAAAGCCCATAATGAGCAAAACTGTCTATGTACATGTATTGTGTAATAAATAATAATACAAATAAACAACACATCATATGAGACTTCTCACACGTCTGTTATAGCCACCTACTGTCATACAGTAGGTATACAGAATTCATATCCAGTAAATTGATTGGCTGGTGACAAAAATACACTTTTCTAGTCAACTTCTGGGCAATTTTTTTCATAGGCTAATCGATTGAGCTCCAGCTCTCTCCATGACTTGCATCAATAATAGATTGTGATTGGATAATAGAATAAATGTCTCTGTCACTACACAAGAGATTTATTAAAATACATTGTTGTACAATTGCACAAATATGTGAATGAGCTATAAAATAGCGATCTTTGGGGATGTAGGCATTCCTTGCCACAGAGAGCTCCTGTGTTAAGATACACCAGGATCAAGAGACAATTCCAGCATGAGAACTGTGCATTTAGTTGGTAGGTATTTTAAAGAATCACAAATAGGAACAGAACAGTAAGTTAATTTTTATGACATGTTAATTTTAAAATAAACATGACAAATGCATGTGTACTTGAAATATAACCGATTCTTGTGAAGCCATGAATAATTGAGACAATGATTTTAATTCCTCAGAGAATGTTTATTGGGAAATCCAAATAATGCATAATTTGTTTAAATTAGGCATCTATGCGCTAAAAAACACATCTATACTGCAAGCTATAAAATACTACTTTTAGCTTTGCTTGAATTTATTTCCCTGACAAAAACATAATATATATGATTGCAGGCTACTATAAAAAAATAAAAAAAACATTTTCATCTTTCTAGTTTTAATTGCTTTGGGCACCCTTGCCTGGGCAAAAAACAAAGGGACTAATACAGAGGAATTAGAGAATATTGCCCAAGAAGGAGATCATTTGAAAAGGTCTGCTGAGTTCAGTGATGGGAGAAAAAGAGATATGAGAATGAAAGCAGCTCCCAAACCAGGCCTAGCAAGCTTAGATACAGGTCTTCGTTCTATGAGTGAGAGTTCTCTTGAAAGAAGCCTTAAATCTGCAGCTGTAAAATTCGAACTTGAAGAAAAGAGTATGTGTTTATATGATTATACTGAAGAAAGGTTATGCACATATTTTTAGTTTAATATTGTAGAAACTATTGATTTGAAATATAAATAGAGAATTTTTAAAATTCCTCATCTCACTTTCAGATTTAAAGATTATTAATTTCTACCTGTTTCTCAGTATTTGTTCTCTCTGTCCTACACACACATTATTGTAATGTTTTTATCATTTTTAGGTGGAGGAGGAGGAGGACCAGCAAGACCACCAGGGGGAGGAGCAGCAGGGCCAAGAGCAGGGGGAGCAGGAGGAGCACCAAGAGTAGCAGGATCAAGTGGAAGAGGAGGACCAGGACCATTGGGACTACCAGGATCAGGAGGAACAGCAAGGGGAGGAACAACAGGATCACGAATGTATCATCCCCCATATTTCAGTACAAGATGGCGTTGTTATCACTGTGTCAGAGGGTGGTACAGTTGTGAATGGAGGTCAGTTTATATTTGATGTCAAGTTAAAGTCTTCTTTGAAACTCAAATAGAGTTGGGGAAAGCATCAATCAATAGTTCGTAAGAAAGCAGTTTGATATTAAGTATACAACAAAAGCCAGAAAATATATTGTTTAGTTTGCTTATGTCTTTTAACATTAATCTGTCCATTTCTAGGTAAATATCAGTGACGTAGCCAGGAATAAAAAAATTCGACGAGGCAAAAAATATTTCCAAACCTTGCCTGGCAATAGAACATGATGATACTGTGTATTGCCCGCAGCTCGTAGGGTGAGGGAAATACATGCTGCAAAAATCATTGAAAGTGCAACAGATATTGCCCAAACATGGAATGAAATATTTGTTTTATTATATCATTGCTAGACATTCTCTATAATCATTTATTTTAATCAATAAAATATATCATAAACCCATAAGTTAACATAACAAGTACAAGTATTATTGTATAACACACTTTATTTTCATCCAGTGTATTTGTCAGAATTCCCGGAAAGGCAATACAAGGGGCAACGTCTTTTATTATCCTAAAATTAAGGATGCGATGAAATATGCTTTTTTTTATCACATTGTAATGAATCTGCCAATTCAATCACAATTTCTAGCAATGATATAAGAATTCTAAATATCGCAATTTTGTCCCTTACATAAGTTGTATGTACTTTTAAATAGAAATAAAATCTATTTATAATTGTAGATGCTTATTCTGTTACGACACATACGCTTGGGGATGGTCATGGCTGCGATGGACATGTAACCACTGCCACATGGATGGTGTTGCCAGGTGGGGATGGTATATGAGGCAATATACATGTTGGGGCAATTGCTATTAGGACCAAGAACACGGAACTTCAGACTATGAGATTATGGATGATGAATCTAATACCACGAAACCAACACAAATTCAATGTTGAATCATATTGTTCATTATGCAATAATAATAGAACTAAAACAAAGGAATAAAAAATCAAAATAATTCTATTTGATCATTTTTTGTCTCATCTTTCATTCAATTTAATGCAATGTAAGAGTATGCACCAATAATTGATCATGATAAAAAGTTATGTGATGAACAAATTAAGAGGAATATTAAGCAAATATTTCATTCTATGGAGGGCAATGCAGTTGTCTAAATTCCTGGGTGCGCAGTAGGCCGGGACATACATCTCACAATAATTCAGGGAGCTGTCAAATACACTATGGTATTTTTCAACACATGGAACTGAATCAGCTAATCAAATCACACAATTTCTAGCAATGATACAAGGTTTATTAACTCACTGTCTATATTTATGATTGATCAGATATATATTGGTTTCACTGTATACAAAATTTGGTGGGGGTCCTAGGCTGAACCCTCAGATATCAATATATTCCAATACAAACAAATCGTTTTTTGATTCATCAGTCAAGCCTATCTCTGGAGCGAGATGATATGGTGAAGACACTGAATTAATATCCATTTAGCCATTAAAGGGACACTCCTTGTAAGGTAGTTCTGGTCGCAAGAAAAAATAGGCCAATCTATTTTTGATTGATCATTCATGCATGCCCCTGAATATGATATATTGCAGGGGAACTGAGTCATTATCCATTCAGCCATTTAAAGGGAAATTGCTTGTAAGATAGTTCTCATCCTAATGAACACTAAAATATTTTTGACAAAATTGATTCATCAGTCATGCCTGCCCCTGAATGTGATAAATTGCTGAGGGACTGAGTCAATATCCATTTACCCATTTAAAGAGACACCACTTGTAAGGTAGTTCTCAACCAAAGAGGCTAATGGGTCAATCTTTTTTTTGATTCTTCTCTCAATTGCCTTCCCCTGAAGATGATATATTGCTGAGGGACTAAATCAATATCCATGTAGCTGTTTAAAGGGACACTGCTTGTAAGGTAGTTCTCACCAAAAGCAACAAATAGGTCAATCTATTTTTGATGCCTCTCCAAAAAGATGATATATTGCTGAAAGACGGAATCAATATTCATTTAGCCATTAAAGGGACACTGCTTGTAAGATACAGTAGTTCCCATCCTAAATCAAACAAAAATATTTTTACTTCGTAATAATTATACGTTATACAATATATAGATTAGAAATACTTCCACTTCCTTGATAGCAAAACAATAGCTTTAAATGGGTTTTATATTGGAAAGTCATAACTAGATTTTTAGCATTTGAGTTGAATACCTATAGTCTACTAGGTTTTGTGTTTTTAATATGTTTCTCTCGTGTCCTTTGATAATGATGCTTAATATGTCCTCTAAATTGAATATCCTAGGTTAAACCTACTGCATACCAACTAAGGTGATATTGGGTCTTTTGCTGAGATTCAAGATTAAAGTTCATAGATATATTGCATTTTAGGGGTTGTTTTATGATTTGTGTTTTCAATATGTTGCCCTTTGTGTCTTATCATAATGGTATTTTGATATACAGGGTGTTCCATATGTTTCAGGAATGATGCTGTATTTTATTACCTAGATAATGAATTTCGTTCTCCAAACCGAGAATACCCCTTTGATTTAGAAATTTAATTTGTCAATAATCGTATGCAGGCACAACAACCTCTACAAGGCCGCTATCATTTCTAGACATAAACAACTATTTTGTTATACAAAACCTAAATGATGATGATGATAAACTACGATTGTATCAGCTGGCATCAAGAGACCCCCTCATCAGTATTCAAGCTAGGTTTTCATTATCTTCTAACCAATCTTTTTCGGGGAACAAATGGTGTTTAGCCCTAATCTGTTAAACACATACCCTTTGTTTCACTATACATTTGCTTATGATAATATATGTATTATTAAACATATGTCTTTTTTGACAATACACACACATCTAATTGATCAAGGGGTAAAACCATTGGTCAAATGTGAGTAAAATGTATTGAAATAACATTAATATGACACCCATGCTTTGAACACAGGATCCAATGATAAAAATCCTAGAGGAAACCAATGCGACATTGGTGTTGTTTTACATAATATGGAGAAATGTGTTATAAGAAGAAATAAAGAAATTATGCTGGCAATCATCGATGTGCACACTTATTTTCATTGGTCAACAGGGTATTGCATTGAGAGGAAAAACTGATGAAAAATCAAACTTTCTTTCACTTATAAACTACACTGCAAAGAGAAACCCTGTCTTGCAAGATCACCTGAATAATGCACCAAGATATGAAACATATCCTTTGCCAGATACATCCAAAATGAGCTGCTCTCTACATGTGGTGATCAGATAAGGTCTATGATAGTGGGTGAAATTAATCAGTCAACATCTTCTGCCATTTTGGCTGAGCTTACATAATGTTTAAATTTGGCATACATTTTAAAAGAGACGTAATTTTCTGCAAAAATGTTGTTATAACAATGATATAACATAACTTCAAGTACAGAAAGATGGCAGCAAATTATAAGCTTTGGGCCTTAGTATTATTTGATTATCTGATCAGCCATTAATTAAAGTAGTTAATATCATAACTCACACATCCTAGTTTTCTGCATGAGAAAAATGCAAATTCTGCGCAGAAATTCTGCATGAAAAAGCCAAATTCTGCACCAAATTCTGCATGAAATCTACAATTCTGCGGCAAATTCTGCACGGGGAAAAGTGAAATTTTCTGGTTCAAGTATGTGCAAAAAGTGAAATTCTTGCTAAAATCAATAATTTTCTCAAAAAAATCAATAATTCAAAATTCTTGAACTCCACTCATGCTGCTTTATTCAGCGATAATGGACAACTGCAGTAATAACACCAGATGCAATTTTAATCAATTAGCGACAAAACTTACCAAATGCTCACTTGTGAACTATCACGAAATTCGAAGTATCACGAAATTCCAGATCAATATGCAGGGAATTCAGATGTCGTTTATTTATATATGACGAAGTAAAACGCAAGAAGAAGCATGATTTATTACGTTAGAATACAAAAGAATACAAGATTAGACATATTATTGCAAAACAATTACAAGGGACAGTCATCGGTTTCAAATTTCGTGATTATGTTAGACGCAGTCTTACCTCTAAGTGCAAAGGCGGAAGTTCGAGAATTTAAAACAGATTTCAGATTTCCTCTTGAAAATCTGACAAAACACAACACAAGTATCTGACAACAAACGAGCGGAGGCTTTTGGCGTTTAGGTGAGTGACAAATATGAGATGAGATGGTTGACTGGAAAAATCATGTTTTCCGCGAAATTCCGTGCCAAAACAAAAATTCTGCAAAAAAAATGAAAATGCAAATTTCTGCGGTTTTTCTGCGGCGACGCGGAATCACGGAATACTAGGATGAGTGATAACTGGTACATGTAGTTACATACAACTCCCTGGAATATCTTAGATTACCAAGGTATGAAGTTTTCAAAAATCATACTGGTAAACAAGTATGCCCTGGAAGCCAAGTTCAAAATAAATTGAAATGTTTGGCACACAGTCCAAGGCAGTAGACATCCAATGCTTCACTGACACATAGGTGTAGCCAGGGGGGTGATGGGTGCGACCCCCCCCCTCCCCGATTACCAATAAAAATATAACCATGAGATGACTGAAAGTTGGCTATACCCCTGCTGACATGTCATATGGAAACAATTATTGTTGCTGAAACTCCCTTAATTATTAGAGGCAAAAGGGTTAATTACTGTACAACTTCATGTAACTACGTGAAATATACAAAAGTGATGTATCCAAAATATTACAATATTTTTCCATATAATATAACACTGTGGTTCTTTGGTTGCTTATCTCTTGATAAAATATGGAAATACATGTATACATTCCATGCACTTTCTTAGACAAGTGAGTTCTTATGGAAACCTCACATTCAACACACATTTACTGATTATATGTGATCAAGTGAGTTTTAAACTTTGGTTGGCGTCAACCTTCGAACGTGACAATGTAGTGGATGTTTTGCAGGATGTCACGACAATGGATATATTATCGGCATTGTCTTTTTTGATTCTCTTTATGACACATCCAATATTATTTTCAATATGGAAGTTAAAATTAGCAGCAGAAAAATTTATTGTAATCATAAAAATGTGTTTATGGCAGTATACACATAAAGAGAATAACAATTTTGCACGTTTAAAATTTGCTACAATTGAAGATCCTTCCTAATTATTTTCTTTCATAGGTGACAGATGAAAAAAATGTTCAAATTTGCAATCATATGTGTTTGAATAAGATGGTAAAATACTGGTAATTTCAAAATTCTAACTGAAAGGTTTCACTCGGTCTTTTTAAAAATAAAACTGCGCCACACTGCACATTCAACTTAACTGCTGCATCCGCTCACGTATACACCTTTTGAATTTGCATGAACTATCTATCTGTGAATAAAAGTTTTTGCTTATTAAAGGCAGAATCAGATCTATAGGGGGTGATAAAATTACAAGCAACATGTACATGTACAATTGACCTACCAATCTATTCCTAACAATCTCAAAAACAAGATCTCCAAAATAATTCACAATATGTTATACAATATGTTGAAGTTATTAAGGATTAAAAGTGCAAATATGGGTGAAAATGTTAAAATTCTCCCAAAAATAAAAAAGAATATATTATTGCAAAGATCTCTACATTTCTTGAAATACAAGGTGTCCAAGAAGTAACGTCAATGACCCTGGCATTTTGTCATTTATGCTTCAAATGTCATGAAGCTTGGTCAGAATGTTTCTTGTACATTTATAAATATAAATATGAAGTATGGAGTTACTAGCATTTGATTGGCCGGTTTTATGGTTACCATAGTAACACAAGTGCATGGACCCCGGGGCAGCTCTGCAATCCATAAGATCTTTGGAAAATAAAATAACCATAAACACTAGTTTTGAAGTCTACATCTTTTATTTATAATATGACCACAAATATAATGTTTTCAACTACATATCATTTATTCATAATATAGCTGTTGCTGGTGTTATATTTAAGTTTATTGAATGTTACATAATCACCACCACATCTCTGGTGTCTTCTTACCCACTCCAAGAAACCACCAGAGCTCATTTCTGCAAGGGATGACAGAACAGAGCTCTTAAGTTCCTCATTTAAAGAGAAAGACTGTCCAGCAAGTTTAGCCTTCAGTGCACCATAAAGATAGAAGTCACTAGGGGCCAAATCAGGCGAATATGGAGCTTGTTCAAGTAGGGGTATTCCTAGTTTCTCAATTACTTCCATGGTGTTCCTGGCCTTGTGAACGGGGGCAGTGTCCCAGTGCAGTGAAAGGCGCAATCCAGGTCCAAGAGACAGAAAACATATTATGATGTCATAAAGTACTCCAAAGAAGTGTTACCATGGTAACTCCCAATAAACAATAAAACCGTTAAGATTTGAAAAAGTCCCAAGACATTTCATTTCATTTTTGCCAAAGGTTTTACCTTATAATAACCTGATTTACATAATATTTACCAGGAACATTCTGAACTGCCCCGGGGTCCATGCACTTGTGTTACTATGGCAACCATTAAATCGGCCAATCAAATGCCAGTCACTCCATACTTCGTATTTATATGTATAAATGTACAAGGAATATTCTGACCAAGTTTCATGACATTTAAAGCATAAATGACAAAATGCCAGGGTCATTGACGTTACTTCTTGGACACCCTGTACATGTAAAGTATGCACTTTGGGGATTTTTAGAAAATGGACATGACATCAAGGAATGACAAACGAGCTAAAAATGTTCTAAAATTAAAACAGCAGATCCGATTCTCTCTTAAAGTTGAAATGTAAAAGTAATAGAATAAATAGTAAATAACAACGATGGGAATAAAAAGCATAAAATGAATCAAAAAAATACAGAAATATGAGACTAATACAAAAATGCAGGGTTGACAACTTAGTGAAATGTTCACGATTGACATAAATAAACTTATTGGCATTCAGTCCATTTCCAAATAAGCAACCAGTTTTTTCGGTCCATTCAGCCAATAGCAAGAAGTGGCTGTCCCTACCAGTCAGGTAGCTGTCAGCTTCAAACCCTGTGGGAGAGACCAGGTACAATTTTTATTTCAAAACTCTAAAAGCCAGTGATTGGATAACAGGAATAAATGCAACAACACCTACACATGAGAATTCAAAGGAATTATTGTAGAAATAAACTATAAATGGTTGACTCAGGAGTTGCGTTAATCAGCAGTTCTTGCGAACAACAGCAAACAAGTACTTCGATTCACAAGGAACCACTGACAAAGACAACATGAGAATTGCACAATTAGCTGGTAAGTACTTTTTAATCCATCGCATACACGCATAATAGATATACACCATGTACAGTACTTGAATAGAGGAGTTTCTAAATAGCTTTGAAATCTCGCTAATTCTCATTTTTTCATGGGATTATAAGAGATTTGCACTTTTAACCTCTAATGACTTACTTTTCTTTATTTTTGATAGCATATTTGGTGTAATGCTAAAATTCATTAAAACCTCGGCTTATTTGTATGACAACCAACATTTTCATGTTTAATCACAATATGTACATTGACAGGGTCATCCAATAGTATGTCATTCAAGTTTCAGACAGATTCAACCAACATTTTTTGATAAATCATGAAATTAAGTGACTATTGCAAGTTTCTAGCATTGAAGTGAATGGAGGTCTGGCCCAAGAAAATCAAAGACAAACAAGGGTGACATCTATTATGTCAGCGTTATTCAGCTATCTAGAAACTATACAATTAAGCATATATTACTTGGCTTGTATAAGGCATCCTTCCCCTGACATAACACATCAAGCCTGAAGACTCTGACCAAGGCTAAATGCACTTTCAGATATTTTGATTTGAGGACAATTTTTTTATTTCATTTTTTCATATGAACCGATAGAGTAGGCAGTGAAAAAATGATGTGGTACAGTAATAAAATCTCCAGACTGGGTCTAGTTAAAGAAATTTTGCTTTTGATTCATTTTTACATGGTTAAAATGTTGGCTAGGCTAATCACTGGTCATAAATACCTGTATGGCCAGACAGAAAATATTATGGCCAGAATCTTTTCAATGTCTGTGGACAAATTTGGCTAAAGTGAAAAAATCCTTATTTGCCAGACTTATATTGTTACTTTTCAGCAAGTAGTGGGAGTAGAAATTTATATCTGGGTGATTAGACCATGATTGTTAGTTTAACTTTTTAAGACCAATATATCAGCTTACAATATTTATTACAATAATTATGATCTTTTATAGCGTTGTTTGCTTTGGTCATATTTGCTTTGGCAAAACACATTGAACCTGAAGAAGTCGAAGTAAATGACATGCAACCAGAAGATGTTGAAAAGGATGATGAAAAAAGGGCTTCAAAAGTTGCAAGTCCTCTCATGGCAAAAGTTAGCGTAGCAACCCTGGACAGGACTCTTGGTTCAATGAAGGAGAGTACTTTGCAAAACAACTTGCAAGTTGCAGCAAATAAATTTAAAGTTGAGGAAAAGGGTGAGTGCTTTTTCAGTTGTACCAAAGAAAGGTTATCATCATCATCATTTAATTTCAGTTCTAGCAGAGACTGCAGACTGAAAATGCAATAATACAAGGGATGATCAATAAGTTTTACTTGTCTGTAGTCTGTATCATACTATTTTTCAATTGACTTATGTGTTATCTTCAATATACTTAACAGCTATACAGGGATGTTATCATAAGCCTTTTTATCTTAGCGAGTGTTGCGAGACATACCCTTACACTTGATGCTCGTCCATTATTCTGGGTTCGTAGATGGCGCTGCTTTTACTGTTACAAAGGGTGGTACAGTTGTCATTGGAGGTTAGTTTAACATAATTCGACTATCTTTCTTTTAGAGATGCATAGTACTAGTACAAAATAACATATTTGCCGTAATTGGTGACCATGTTCTTATTAGCATCCCCCAGATTTTTGTAGGTCCGAGGGTGGGTCCCTTGGTTGAGAATCAATGATCATTAGGGTCAAACATAAAGAAAATTAAATGGTCAATTAATAGAGTACTTACTTGTTTTAGTTACTTTTTGTAGTTTTGGAAAAGGTATTTCAGCTTGGATATGTCATTCTTGTCACCATAAAATGTATATAATAATGTTGTAATGTTGAAATATATAATGTTGCTAACTCAAGTCCATTCCATTATTTTGATGTCTACCAGTGAAGAAACAAGGCTGAGAAGAAATTCAAATTTCTATAAATTAATGAATGACAAATACAAGTCTGGACAAACCAATGGATGAACTCTATGGCAGACTCTTAATGCATGACATTCATTTCACAATATTGTAAATAAAATAAATAATGTTTATTCCCAACTAAATCTAGATGTCTATTCTGCTACTACACATATGGCTATGGCTATTATTGGATGCCATGGAACTGCAGTTACTGTTACGTAGAAGGTGTTAGCAAGTGGTATTGGTGGATGAAAACATACAATTGTTGGGGCAATTGCTACTACAGGAGATATTAGACACAATGAGAAAAGATATTTCGTAGAAACAGACAGCAAGATAATTCATATTGTTCATGATATAATGAATGTCATTGAAATAAAGTCATGAAAACAAAGTTAGAAGTACTTATCTGCATTGATAGAGCCACACTTGCAAAAATATACTTTAACAATTGATACAGATGCCAATGCCTAAGTGGCATTCCCTAAAAGGTGGGAAAGACAATGTATGTCACCAGTTCTTACTGCACTGCTTATGAATAAAATCAGACTTGAAATCAATCAAGAATGATTCCATAATTCTAGGAGGCATCATCATTTACAATGTGTGATAAAAACTAAGGAAGTTAAGCCCAAATAAAGTTACATCAGTTATCATTTATACAATCAGAAACCTACATTAGCAGAAAACTCACTTTTTTTTGATTACAAAAACATTCTCTTATTTTCCTCAGAGAATCCAAAAAGATTTTACATACTACATGTACAAGGAAATTTTTTATTGGAATCCATGTGTGTGATTTGAAATGAGGCAAAATGTGTTATATATTACAGCTGTTTGAGTGAGGCAAAATAGGGTAGGATCAGAGTGAGGTGTTGTGCCTCAATCTAAATGCCTCATACACAAGCTAACACAAAACAAAACAAGTCATTAACATGCAAATGCTACCACCTGCCATATGTTAGACGTTGACTACAGAATGCCAAACACCAACCTCCAAATACCAACTGCAAAACACCAACAACAAAAAAGTTGGAGATGTTAACAATATAACACTCTTCTGATGGTTACTTAATAAGCTAAACTGGGCTTACCCTAAAGTATGTCTCTTCCCTGGTGATCAGTTGTGACTTGGACATACTGTAGTCCCATTTGGGTCTCTTGGGCATATCTAGTACAGATCCAGGCTGATAGATGGCATCATGATCAACCTCTAGGGCTATCTATAAATGAGAAAATATGGAGATTGATTTGCCAGGCTTTTAATATACAGTAAAAATTATGTATAAGGAATGTCTTCCATACTTCAGTAAATTGTTCCTCATAGATATGTTTTCCTTTTACACAAGTGCTCTTATAAACAAGTGTTCATTGTGGACAGGTGTTCATTGCGGACAGGTGTTCCTTATCGATGGCGTTTTTTATACACATGTGCTCCTTATATACAGGTGTTTATTACAGACAGGTGTTTATTACAGACAGGTGTTCCTCATAGACAGGTATTATTTTATAAATAGGATCTTCAGAGTTCCTCCAATGATTTTCTAGATAGATTTTGATTTTCTCAATTCAATGTACTGCCAAAAAATATGGAATTTTGTAATTTTTCTAATATTCAAGGTTGTGCAAACATATTTTAAAGAGGTTGCATGCCTTTTTAATATCTCAATTGAGTGGAGCCCAGTTGGGGAGATAACTATACAGTACACAGTGATCTCCATAGGATTAAAGCAAGTGGGTGCAGCACCCGCATGAGATTTTAAAAACAGGCTTGCAGCACCCGCATGAGATTTTAAAAACAGGCTTGCACCCACCTGAAAATTCATTTGCAACCACTTGAAAATGAGAAAACCATGAAAAATGGCCATATTTTTACAAATTTTTGTCTCAATTGTGAAAATGGAAATTTTGCTCCCACTTGAGAAAAATTCTGTGGAGAACAATGGTGCAGAACATGAACTTACAACAGGCAGGCTCTGAAGAGGTTGTCTAGCAAGCTTTTTTCTTCTTTCTATTTCTTCTTGACTCTCTCGTCGAAAATGTAATTGATATCTGAAGTCAACATAGATAAACAATCAGGAACGAAAATGTGAATGTTTCTAAAGAATGAGTAATTCATATATGTATACAGGATTTTAATTAGAAATTTTCAGCTGCAATGATAGGAAACATAACTAGATAATGGCAACTCCGCGGAGTAGCAAATCCCAACGAACAAAATATCAATTACCGAATTCCAATCAATTATACTCATTACTTTGGTTAAAATTGAAAAATTTAGATTTTAGAATTGCGAATTCCTGCAAAGCAGCCATTTTGAATTTTCTGAGGTACAAATCTGAAAAATAATAGCATAATTGTGATCTACTCCAAAATTCCTTCAATTTGAGTATAATATAGCCATACTTTGAAGGGATCGAAAAATGATTGCGAAATCGTACATTAGACGGCCATTTTGAATTTTACGAGGCTCGAATCAGAAAAAAGATACAATATTTGCAATCTACTCTTAATTGCCTTTCATTTGAGTATAATAAAGCTATACTTCAGAAAGATCTAAAAATTAGCGAAAATTTCTGTTTTCCTGACCCCCATACACGGCCCCTGGGGGTCAGGATGAAAAACACGGAATATATGTGAAATAGATAGATGTTGCGAATATACTACCAAAATTTCAAACAATAATATTAATTACTTTGGTTTAGAATGAAAAATTTATGATTTTTGCGAAAAAGTCCCGTCATTTTTAAAGCGGCGGCCATCTTGAAAAAAAATTTTTTGCGTAAAACTATTCATCAATATACATCTTTCCACTAAATATGAAGAAAATCCGTCCACTAGTATTTGAGTTATCTTCCGGACGGACGGACGGACGGACGGACGGACGGACTGACAGACTGACGGACTGACGGACTGACGGACGGACGGAGGGCTTCACTATATCCCTACCGAACTTCGTTCGTTGGGATAATTAGTTAAAAGAGGTCTCATAAACACATTTAACCATTCAAAAAATAAAGAATAGTCACTGGAAATCAAGCAAATTAAAATGACAGTAATTTCAAAATCTAAATTCTCAAATCATATTCTCAAAAACCAATCACACAAAATTTTGGCCCTTGATCCGAAATCAATTATGCTTTATGATAGATGGCATAGACTATGGGTACAGTGTATGAGGTCTCGGATTGACTGCTGAGTTTTAAAATACTAAATTAATTGAATTCAAACCTTTGGAAATAGTTTTACATACATTTTAGATGATGCTAGAGGAAACAACTGTTAAACATGACAGTCGATTTGGTATCTAGAAATCAGATTCTTATTTAAAGTTTACATAAAGAAAATATATGATCTGGATCTGCTTAAAGGGGCAACAAGGTCTGTAGAGAATTTTTTTTCTCTTTTTCTGAGCTATCAGGGCAACATTTGGCTTAACATCTTCTTTGACATACCTATTTTCTTAAAATGTATGAAACTCTCAACTTCAGCATTAAGAAATGTAAATTCAATTCAAAGCTTCTATAAAGGGAGTCCCACTTATAGATTTTTAAGATCCATCACGTTTCAAGAGGAATATCAGCTGAAATAATGTTCATCCAGGGAGTTTCTTTGGAAAAAATAATAATATATTGTTAGTCTTGATGAAATTTTCAAACTTGAACATATTTTTACACTGTTCCATGATCGTTGAATGGATCCTCTGCACTAATTGTTGCACCTTTAAGGAAGTCTCAGCATTACTGATTTAGCATGTCCCAGAAATATAGAAGACATATTAAATATTGCACTTTGAAGACCAAAATGAAGTTATTTACACGACATGCTCAATACCTAACCAGATATCAGTCTCCTCTTATATGTAAAGCTTTCAAAAAGTTTTCATAAAACTTTCAAGTTGAACAGATAAGCCGACTTCCTGGAATTTTGATTACAAGATTTAAGTGGTAGCCACATACCTGATTCACACAGCCACAAACATGCCCATCAACACAAGACAACTACAATATAGCACTTTTTCAAAGTACAGTTATGTATGATAAAAACATAGACTCAACTACAATGCACCTTTCCATTTATAAGACCTCTCCTTGAAGAAAGAGGCTTTAAGTTACCTGTTCTGGTCATAGCCTTTATCAGTTTTATCTCCTGGCTGGTAATTAAGGCGGCTCACTTGCTTTACTGGTCTATATTTTCCATCGTTGTCAGTTTCGGAACCTTGAAAAATCAAAGACAGGTCTGGAAATATTTTCACCTCATAAGACATTGCTTTTTTCTTCCTGGCTACACCACTGTATTATCTGCTAATACTTATTCCAAGTGTGTCCTATTCTTAGTAACAGATGCCCAAGACCGAAAGTTTTTTAGCAATAATATTGATAGTTTTGGTATTAACCAATTTAGTCCCTATTAGCAATAATAATGAAATAACATGGGATTCAGGAGTCTATTTCTCGAAAATCAGTAAAGTAACTTTACTTATTTAGTAAGTTTCAAAAAGTTACGAGATTACATTATATTTTTTGAAAGTTTGTATCTTTAAAAGACAACTGAAATAGCTTTTCTCAGCTTGCAGCTACAAAAATGTGGTTTTCTCCATTGTAAGCCCATCGTAGAGTTCTTGCGATAGCCATTATAAAATAAATGTTACATACCTGCTAACGCTCATAGATAACGAAATAAAACTAACTGATTAATCAAATTGGCCCCCACGTGATTAGTAACGTCATATACAAAATATAGCTTTGGTTTATTGGTTCCTTAGTAATCACAATGTCACGGCAACCATTGGATTGTTGTATGAACAAATAACAAAACATTTTGGCATTATGATGTCATGATCTAATGGACCAAAATGGGCCACGTGGGGACCAGTGAGAGATCACGTGCAATCATTTGGGGGCCAATAATGTCACAACCAATTAGAATATTGCTTATTAAGCAGCTATAACGATCATTAGAGTGAAATAATTTTCACACTACTGATGAGAAAACATGTCCAAATACATTTATCAAAAAATTATTTTGATTCCTTGAGGTTAAAAATACCATTTCATATCTGCTTTAAATAAGTTTACAAATGATAAACTATGTGACTTCATGATTCCAGTTCCCATAATCCATTGTCAGGTCTGGGTGTGATATTTATTGCAGTTCTAACGATTAACGAAACTATATTAATGCGAGAACATCTTAGCATGCATGTGATCGAATATAATCTGTAATTGGCATAATGTTATCAATTGTAAAGCACTAATAATGTATTAAAATGAATGTCGGACCAAAATGAATTTTTTGTATACTTAGACTATCTGTGATGTATAATTCCTGTAAAAACGTTAGTAAAAAGGTCAAGGAAGACTTACCAAAGACCTCTAGAGGTTTGTTTTAGTTTGTATAAAGTAACGATAAAAATCGCATATAACATCATTATTTAGTAACTATGCGAAAAGAAAGTTACTTATTTTCGCAAAATTACTAATTTCTAGAAATGCATGATTAATTAACTCGCAACTTTACAAACTTTCGAGAAATAAACCCCAGGGAAAATGACAATTTCCAAAGATTGTCTGGTTCTATTTTTTAATGTTAGTTTTATATTGAATTCTATTTAAATTCTCGCCTTTTGCAGATTACTGATGGAGATGTACATGTAGATGTTACACTGTCCAGCTGTGATGAAGAAACAAAGCTGACACTGCAAAAATTGTAATTCCAAATTTCAAATGTACATGTAAGATACCTGGTCTATCTTCTGCTTGACATTTCTTTTTGTCCCGTTTTTCTTGTAGCTGTTTCTTCTTCTGCTTGACACTGAATGGCTTTTTACGGTGACCCAGTGGCATTACACTAACTTTTGTTAGTAGATCTACACAGATAAACTTTTGAAAATTTTGTGATCCCAGGTGTGTGACACGCCATAAGTTGAATTTAGGAAAAGTTTCTGTTCTGCTTTGATAATCTGCTTGAGTAAAAAAAATATGGAATTTTTAAATTATTGTGTTATGTTATTATATTGTAGTGAAGTTAACATGCGTGAAGATACATTTAACTCGATAAACGTTAAAGCTCACTCATTATACATTTGGCGTGTCATAATTTCATTCAGTCCGTAGCATCAAAATCAAAATAAATATTTTTTATTTTTTCAAACAAACCGGCCTTTTATTCAAAATGGGAGAATATTTATACTTTTAATTACAGCTCAAATAAAGGAATAACAATGGAGTTTCAATTCAGCATCAATAATTTATTTGCAGAGGAGTTTTCACTTGTCGACAATAAGTTGGTTCCTCGAAGAAAATCTCCAAGGGGTAATAGGTGAGTGTGAGAAGCTGAAACGTCTAGGCCTAGGGGAGATGCATCGAATTTCGACGTGTGGGGTTACTTCGTTATGGGGCTACCCCAACAATAGTCCAACAATAGAACTAGTCTGGGCCTCATTTGTTATCTGACATGTCTTGTGGCCTGACTAGGTCTAACCTCCATGGGCATTCATTGTATCATCTTTGACATTAGGTATTACTCGAGTCTCTAGCTTACAGCTAGATGTAACTTCATTGATTTCGTATGTACTCGTATTTCGTATGTAAAAATTGCTACACGCACGAGAAATCATTTTTAATAAATTTTATAAATATTTTTAAGAATAGTAATTATATTTAGGATGAAGCGTTGCTTGTCTGGATTTAGATATTTCAAAATTTATTTTCGGAGTTTGACACATGGTGAAATTTTCTCGCTGTAACTAAAAAATGGCTTCCGGTTCTGGACGTGAATAAATGGAGGAAACTTTGAAATTATTCTCGCTTAAAGAAATCAAATATAACAATAGATTCAGATGGAGATGTGCGCTGGTGTTTCTCAAATCTATACATAGAGGTATATTTCATATTATTATGCCGTATTTACTGTGTGTGTGACACAATGATTTACAATATTTACAATACCAAGGCAGCTCAATCTTTCTACTCAAATCCGGAATATACACATCAACAACCAACAATGGCTAATTTCATGTTAGACAATGTGGCATTAGGTACATGTTACTTCCTGCGAAAACTATTTGGATTTTGATATAATAGCTTTCCCACGGAGCATTTTGACAGCTGAATGATTGTGACCTTTGAAATCGAATTAAGTCGATCTGCGGCTTACTTTTGGTCTCTAACTGTGTCTTACATCAGTATCATCAATCCGTGTAAGTATTAGAGCGCTGAAATACTTCTTTTTCGATCAAGACTTGTAAATTGTTCATCGAGTGAATGTTTTTTAGACCTTCCAATATGGCGGTTTGCTAGGAGCGAGATACGCAACGAACGAAATAAATTTTGAGAATTAGTTAGGTTCGGACAACCTCCGGAGATTTACGAAAATGTCCGAGCAGAAAACGCCATATTGGAATTTGGCAGTAAAAACATTCACTCGACTAACAATTACAAGTCTTGATCAAAAAGGAAGTACTTCAGCGCTCCAATACTTACATGGATTGATGATACTGATGTAAGACACAGTTAGAGACCAAAAGTAAGCCGCGGATCGACTTAATTCGATTTCAAAGGTCACTATTAATCAGCTGTTCACTTCCCCGTTTGAGAGCCATACGTTTCAAAATCTAACATGGCTCTCGAAGTGAGTAAGGTACATGTACTTCAATTTTACACTAGACTCTAAATATTTATCTGCCTGGGGCTACTGTCCAGTGGATATGACTCACACTTTGGATTCATTTTTAACATCATTAACATGTTACCTAACCATGGGCTTTCAACTAGACCTATTGAACTCCCATGACCTAACCAACCTGAAAAATTTTTTCAAGATGGTCACCACTTAAAAAATGGACAGATTTTAAGTTTTTCATTTTAACCAAATTAAAAAATATTATTTTTTGAAATTTTGGAAGTGTTTTCACAACATCTATCTATTTCACTTATAAATGTGTTAAAATGCTTAAATTGGTTGAAATTCTGATATATCTCTAATGTATGTCTAATAACTTTTACATTGTGACACATACAGATTCATGAATATAGTGTTCGTTAGGATTATCCTCTCCTTGGAGTTGCTGATTTCTATTTACATTCTTAAAAACACCCTGAAAATATAAACCAATCTACTTCATTTAAGTTTACATAAAATCATTCAAAACGAAAGTTATTTGAAATACAATACAAAACTTATTTTTGAACTACCAATTGAAATTTATAAATTTCAAATCTGTTACATTATTAATCTACAAGTGCTATACTTAATAAATGATACAAAATAAAAAAATCAACAAACCCATGAATTGTAAAAATCCATTTCGACCTTGTTTGAATTTTCAAAAAAGCACACCAGTTTATAAGCATTTAAAGTTTTGTATTTATTAAAGTTTATATACATCATAAACATTTCTTTGTTTTTAGTGTATCGAGCTATAGAGAGCAGCTGATGAAAGTAATTGACAAAATGGGAGATGCCTCAGCCAAGGTGAGAACACGACATGACAATTTGTTATGTTAACACTAGAATTTTTGATATCTCTGAAAATTATTGGTAAGTATAATGTAAATATAGATTATAGAAATGGTTACAAGATTCCTTAAATGTGGCTTCATCTAGCAAGATATTTAGTACAACCTTATAATACCAACAGAAATCAAAAGTGTCTTTTTGAGCTTTTTACATGACTGCATCCAGATTTTACCAAGGAGGTTCAGTTTTTAAAGAATTCCGGGGGGGGTCAAATTTGATATGTTTGCCTAAATCACTTGAAATGTTTTCAGAATAAAAACTGCATGGTTTCTGAAAGAATTTTTGGCCAGCTCGCTTGCTGGAACCCCTGAGTCACTTGGAGGTTTGAGAACTTCTGGTGACAGTTTCATTACTGTTAAAGTTCATGATCATCGTTTGATCTGATGGACTTGATCTTTTTGAAGAAATATTAGGCCCTCATTTTCTTTGATCATGTACTTTATTTTCACAAGATAAATATTTTCTTTAGAACAAAAACTACTGGTTATTCAGGGTTTAATTATGATCCACATTATGAAGAGGAAAATAATTAACTAATTATGTAGCATGTTCAAAGCTATGTACTAATTCTAATAGTTTTAGATTATTAATACATTGTATATTTTTATTAAAACTAGTTTAGTTTATAATCCTAATTTGCAAATATTTTGTGTGAGCAATATATCAAGATTTCTGTTGTTTTTGTAGGCTCAAGGGCTGAATGCAACAATAACATCTGCCAGTAAACTTCAATTCTCTGATCATCATCTCTACTTCATGATTGATGCTCAAGCCAACAAGTAAGTTATTTGGAATGTTTATAATCATATAAAATGTATAGAAAATCTGAACTAAAATTGACAACAGATAAAACCATGAATTAAGGTAGACTTTCTAGTGGAAATCCTCTGTAACATCTAGAGATATTAATATGGCATTCAAGGTATATCCTGTTTATTGCACTGACTCACTCATGAGATACCCCGGCTGACCAGGGCTCTGAATAGAAGTTAAAATACAGTAAAACTTGTCTCTAATCTCTCCCAAACTCCTCTCTTATCCAAATGTCTTCCAATTAATGTGAATTCTTTTTGCTGGTGCAGTTTTTTTCATCCAATTATATTCATATTAAAGTGACCAACTTGAAACTTCATGAGTTTTTCCCCCATAGATGTCCCTGTTAAAGAACCTGCCAATTTGAATTTTGAAAATATTTTTAGCCATTACATAATAAGCTTTTACATTATCAATGCAGTATACATGTACTTCTCATTTCATTGATTTGTATTGCAGTGGACTTGGAGCAGTGGTTGGAATGATTAAAGTTGGCCAGAAGAAATTATTTGTATATGATCACAATGGAATACAGCATGAATGTGAACCTCTGTGTGTATTGGACTTTTATGTACACGAGTCAAGACAAAGGCATGGATGCGGCAAAAAAATATTTGAGCACATTTTACAAGTAAGTAGTCTGAACGGAGTTGGTTGCAATTTCAAATTTCAAGTTTTATCAATTGGTACAATGGAACAATCTATTTTTGAGTCAATATATACAACCCAAGTCACTGGTACTCCACTTGATTTCACTGGTTACTGAAACAGTCACAATGTCGGAACCTCTAAGGTACGATTTGTCTTTTTTCCTTATTTCATGCGTTGAAGGCAAAATTTCCACGACATTTTAATCACAAGCTTGAGTCAGTATCTAAGAAAATTTACATGTTTGCGAACAAATAGTTCAGAAGACAACAGAATCATCAATTTAATACCTTACTTTTGTTACTTAAACAGAACTTCAAAAACAGTTAAGATCTGCACTTCTAACCCATTCCGTTCAAGTAGCACTAGTGAGGTATTAAATCAATGATTCTGTTGTATTTTAAACTATCTTTGTTCACAAACATGTAAATTTTCTTAGATACTGACTCAAGCTTGTGATTAAAATGTGGGAATTCTGCCTGAAGTGTTTGAAATGAGGAAAAAAGAAAAATCATACCTTCAAGGTTCAGACATTTTGTAACCGAAATGGTCCGTTTTGGTAACCAGCTTCATCAAGTGGAGCACCAGTCATGGGCGTAGCGCTATTTTTCTAAGTAGTACGCCACCACCACGGGAACAAGAGTTGAGTGAATCAAAAAACGAGCATTTAGGGGGTCTGGGGGTTCTCCCCAGGAAAATTTTGAAATTTGGTTGTATTTGGAGCGAATTTGCAACCATCTGGTACGCCTGTGTGTACCCAGCGTACCGGGCGCTATGCCAGTGCAAGTGTTCTATAGCTGAGAAACTTCATTTCTTAGTTGAACTAGAATATGGTGTCAATATTTCAGACATTGTTTAGGTACAGATAAAGCATTCTGCCACTGGAGATGTGAATGTTTCAAATCTCAATTTACAGGGTGGGCCAAAAAAAAAACACCCCCTAGCCGATATTCATGATAAATATTCATTTTTGAACAAATGCACCAACAATGATATATCATTTTAAAGATAATTTAATTTGCAACAAAATGATATATTATAGAACAATTTTCAACAACCCTGGCTCGAGATATAACAATTTATGTGACATGGGGGTCAAAAAACACCTTTTCAATTTTTATTGATTTTGCGAAGAATAGCCTATTTGTACCAAATGTTACTGTTCAGTTAAAAATTGCAACATTGTCATGAGTCTTTCATAATTGGATATTATATATTGTTTTCATTCAGTTTTTGAACCATGCATGCTCAATAAACATGTGTATGCTTATAAAACAAATTAATGATAGGCTTGTGATCTTCATAGACCAACTGTTCTAAATGCCCCAAGTACTATACAGTCTTGTAATCAACAAGATACACTCTACATACATGTATATCAGTAAGTAAGAATAGGGACATTTGCGATAAAAGGCTAAACAAATCGAGATGACATTTTTCTGAATGGGTAGTGGTGTCCACATGGTGTTTCCCAAAAAGAAAATACCATACAGGCCCTGTTTTTGTTGAACCAAGAGCAAAAATATACTCTGAATGTTAATGGTACCTGTTACACTGCTGGGTTGAGTCTAACGAAGCATTTTTGTAACGAAGGTTAGCGAAAAAATTGTGTCCACACTGGCTTTATCCAACCCTAACGAAGCAATAATTTGGTGTTACACTGCACTTAAAATGCTTCGTTGCGCGTGTGCAGTACTCATCTGCCCCACCCACTTATTATAATTAATATTTTTATTCTTTTGATATAAACCATTGATCAAACTCAGAAATCTAATTTCTAATGTTTATTTTAACAATTCAGCACAGAAAAAGACTAGTTCAAAATTCTCTGGAAAATAAAACCAGATGAATGTGATCATTCCGTACACATGTCCATACATTTTTTCCCATCATTTCGATTTTTATATATTTCAGCTGTCAATACGATTACAAGTATTGTTTTCATTTTCTATCATTTCCTTTGGAAACATATGGAATAAAAATAGGCCTATGTTAATTACTAGGAGGAATTGGATTTGGGGTTTATACAGAGGACTAGTCTGTAATATCGTATAAAAACGTTCAATTTCCAAATGGACTTCTCAGTTATATTTCAAATAGTGTAGCCATTACTAAAATATCTCGGTGTTCGGCTGGTGGTTTAACTACTATTTCATCAATTCATTTTAATATGAATATTACCCGTCTCGCCAATATTCCATGCATATTTGAGTGAGTTTGACATAAATTAGTATGTTAATCCATCAGCTGTCCGTTGAATTCGAAAATGGCGCAAATTGGAAGAAACTTAAATATCAGTTGTACGCATCATCTTACGACACATCAATAGTGTTTGGGGCTGGCCTAAAACATGCAGCCTCTCTGTGGCAAATATCTGTCGACAAGAAACAATTTTGGCCACCGTCCCTTGTCCGCAGGTTTTACTGTATTTGTATACGGAAGTTTTGAAACGTAATTAATTCAATATATTTAAACATGAAGTTTAAATTCAATTACATTTTAAAATCGTCGAAGAATGAAATAATAGAACGACTAGTACAAGTATTGCAATGGGGCGATAATCAGTTGAATACGATTTCTGAAGAGAGACATTTTCAAATCAATCAAATCGGCTAAATTCCCTGATATGATTCACCGGGAAGCAATTGTATCAGTATCATGGTATTAACACCTTTAGAATTACATTCAAGGTATAAATATTCGAGGCGCAAGAAACAATTAATATTAAACATGTATGCCACAACTTTCTATTCACTAAGCATATCTTATGTAATTTCAAAAGTTTACCCTTCCACACATGAGACGGAGTTTTCCCGGAAAGAGGGACATTTAAATATTCTAGGTTTATTCCCTTATAGATCAGATAAACGTTTCAAAAATACCGTATACATTTACGGTAAAACCTGCGTGTTTTAGATTTAATAATTTTTGTCATATCAATGCGAGGAAAGGCAGGGAATCGAATGAAATGCCACGAAAGACGGTAAATCACATTTGTACGTTGCGTTTAGGGCTTGAGTTAGCTTCAATCAGTGACGCAAATAGGTAATTATTTTAATCAAAACGTAGCATTATAATAATACGTACTTAAAAACATGTTCTTTCCTCACGATTCGTCTCATTTAATACAAAATGATGAATGTGCTCTTTATTACGCGCATGCGCAAACCGCCAACTAAGCATTTTCTAACGAAGCTACCTGTTACACAGGCCAAAAAAGCTTCGTTGGTACCTAACCTTCGTTGAATTTTCTACTCAATTGCTTCGTTATCAACTAAGCTTTTCTAACGAAGGCGGAGGTGTTACACTGGCCCAAAATTGCTTCGTTACGAAGCTTTTTGTCAAATTGCTTCGTAACGAAGCATTTTAACTGGCCTGTGTAACAGGGGTCAATGACATGAGGTGTTAAAAAGGACTCCTCAAGGATAGGAAAAACATGTGAAAATGCTTCAGCACACAGGTCCAATGCTACCCTGGAGTTTTTGGAGATTCGAAATGACACCATCTCTAGCCTGGACAAATGACTTACTGACAGTCACGATGCCAATAATGTTGATTACCATACCTGGGGGCATCTAGAACAGTTGGTATTTCAAGATACCCAACCTATCAGGGATGTAAAGGAACTAAAAGAAAGAATAACTAGCAGTTGAATGGTACTTCCGCATACATCCATCAATTATCCCATCAACCAATGGTTTCCGCGTCTTAAGTGAATAATCTGATCAGAGGATGGGTCGGGGGGGTGGGTCTATTGAGCCATATTTGGACAGACTGGAGAAGAAATTAATTTGTTTTATAAGCATACACATGTGTATTGAGCATGCATGGTTCAAAAACTGAATGAAAACAATATATAATATCCAATTATGAAAGACATTATTGCAATATGTAAATGAACAGTAAAATTTGGTAGAAAGAGGCTATTCTTTTCAAAATCGATGAAAATTGAAAAGGTGTTTTTTTACCCCTATGTCACATAATTGGTTATATTTCTATATTGGGTTGTTGAAAATGGTGCTATTATATATCATTTTGTTGCAAATTAAATTTTCTTTAAAATGATATATCAGTGTTGGTGTACATGTTAAAAAATAAATATTTATCAGGAATAATGGCTAGGGGGGTGGTTTTTTTGGCCCACCCTGTAGATATCATATAGTGGACTTAACTAATCAAAAAAATTAAAAACAAGTTTGTTTTTTTCAGGTTGAAAATGTGAAACCGCAGCATCTTGCCATAGACAGACCTTCTACTAAATTCAGCAATTTCCTTAAAAAACATTATAAATTCCGTAGCTCCATACCACAAGTGAACAACTTTGTTGTGTTTGAAGGATTTTTTAAGGACCGTCCCCCTGATCCTGATAGGAGAAAGTCTGGTTACAGGCCACAGCTACACCATTATAAAAAACATAGTAAGATTTAGATTAGCCTTTATTCATATATAATGGGGGACTTTTATATGCCATTCCTGCCACAAATCTCCCATTTTTCAAATCCGTGTTACACTTGTATTTTGTTTTACAATGAACATGTATGTACTGTTTATTTGTTAAAGCACTCATGACTATGGTAAAAAAGTGGCAATTGGTATCTGATATTATAAGATTTCTGTATAAGTACTAACAAGTTTGAATTTGACCAATGAAATTCCAATTATATGTACAAATCGAATGGTTCTTTAGGTCGTAGTGATGTATGGAAGGAAAGGGGTGCTGGAGGAGATATTCAGAGCTCAGATGGCCGAGGGTCCTCTTTATCAAATAGTAGCATTCCACTCACACAGCATGAGAAAGAGGTCAGTCATCAATCAGTTGTATCAAAATAAAACATATCTAAGAATAGAACTCTGACATTTTTTCTGTACTTGATTATTTCAAAGTTTCTGTTTCCATTAGTGCTTTGTAACTTCGACCTCATCAAATGTAAAAGTGAACAAAAACTCTTGTGCGTGACTGGGAATGTCTCAGTCATAGCAGGTGGTCATGACAGATGAGAATGGTCGATTATAGTGATATAAGTTGCATGAATCCATGTATTGACTACCCCTAAATGGCCCATATGTGTTTTCAGAAGGAAGCTTTGATGGATGTAAGTATACCCAAAGCTGGCTCCAAAGAAGCTCTAAACACATTGGGACAAATTGATCCTCTTACAGGAACAAAACGCAGTAGGTTAGTCTCACAATTGTACCTTCCATCATTCACATGTTTTACATTTATTTTAAATAACAGTATATCCTAAGATATATCCTATTGTGCCCATAAGATCCAATGTGAACCAACATAAACATGAATCCGATGTATCATTGTGAAGTTTGCTAAATCTTTATATCATACTAACAGTGTATGAACATGTTAATACATTACACTTACAATATATGCACATGTTATATTTTTCCAGCTCATTAAATGTTGAGTTGAATAATTTAAACCTTGGGCCACAGCGGGCTTTGGGGGCACAAAATAGTATGTATAGCCGTCACCAGATTTCTCCACTAGCTCGACAAGATAGCGGAGGGCCTGCAGGTCAGGCTGGTGGCGTAGATGCAGCTAACCAGAGTCCCAAGGGTATGCAGCAAGGACTCTTGGGTGTCAGGCGGGGAAGTGGGGGTCCCGGGAGGCCAGGAGTTCAGACTACTTTTCCAGAAAAGCCAAATAGACCAGCAGCCATTGGTACATTTAATATTTTACTTTACATTAACATGATTTACAGATTGCTTTGATATTAATATGGGTTGTACAATGTCTGCACTGCTATGAGTTTACAAGTAGGTTCATGATTAACGTTTTAAAACGTGATGCAGTCCATTGACCAATAGGCAACTCAATTTTCCAGTTCATTGTCAAGAGTGAAAACTGGAAATGGATTGCTATTGACAGTCAGGGAGTTGTGAGTTTCGAGTCAAGTTTGTTTAGAGTTGTATGATATAATTAATAGGGGATAATCTTATTCAATACTGATACATTATGGTGATATATTATTCTATGTTGTAGTCTTTTCAATATATAATATTTTGTATTGGATATGTCAGTTGGCTTATTTTATCATATTCAGATCCAGGAACTTCAGATCCACCAATGTTACGACGTGATGGTCCCCCTACAAATTACCTGGGCCTGCAGGCCTACCAGGACAGACGAGGCCATCTTAGACTTGCCCCCTCTGCAACGAACACTGCACCCCCACCTGAGCTGGGACAGAACAAAAACCAGAATAATAGGTGGGTAGTATTTAAAGGAGGTAGAATGGATCGTGATGGGAAAATCTTGGAAGCCGTCAAAAATGCATGCCAATGTTTCCCTTACAATCTTAATTTTATTTTCTTAAAATAGATATCTCATCAAACATATAAGTTACTGAGGATTTAAGATTGAGGAGTGTCTAATTGTAATATCTTTTTTTTTATTTTATCTATTGACCAGATAACCTTAAAAATTGAAGGGTCATCCTGAAAGAAAGTTTGAACTGTTGACATGACATAGAATGATAAGAGCAAAAATATTGTAAAATTTTTAATATGGATGGTGTTTGGTGGTTGCTGTTTGGTGTTCACCAGTTGGTGTTTGGCATTCGGCTTCTGTAATAAATGATAGGTAGTGACATTTTGCAAGTTAATGCCTCATATTTGTACATGCTACAATAGTTAAGTAATTTTGTATGAGTGTTACAACTTTATTTTTCAGTACAACTTACACATCACATTTCCAGCGCTGATCCTCTGAATAGATAAGGTTATTTCAGAAAAACAAATTTTCTGTTGAATTTACATGCACAATTTAATTCCTAATCTTTGAGTTCACCTTTAACTTAAAATACACTAAACATTTTTGTCAATCTTTTGAGTACTCGTTTGTTGACATAATCAAAAACTTGAAATTGAAAATGTTAATACTTATTACTGGCAATACTTATTACTGGACAACTGAATGAACTCTGGTGAATACTGCACTGTTCGAATGTATGACACACAGTGCTGTACGTCAATCTAGGGAAGAATATTTTGTAGTTATTCCCTGGAGGTCAGGCTAAAATTAAGACAACTCAGAGTTAAATCTATTGTACTCTAATTTTTGCCCATTTTATGTTTTGTGAATAAACCCATATTCAGTCGTTGAATTGCAGTAAAGAATTAGAAATTGAGACTGTTGTCGAATCATGCACATGTGTGAAGCATCTGTTTTGCTTCTGATTTCATAAATGCTTCATTCAGCGACATTGATCGACATTGACCCCACTCAGTTATGAATTAACAACGATCTCAATTTTTAAATTATTATATCGTGTTTGGTTAATGGTTTGAAAAGTTATCATTTGGTGCACATTTAAACGTTGATGTGAGGTGATCTGGCTGTTTTATGTGAATAGTTTGTATTACCTTGAATTAGAGCCATGTGCATCAGGTCCAGTACATCAGGTCCAGTACATTGGGCTCTGAACACGAGAATTCAGTGAATGCTATTTTGAATGAGTGGCTGGATTTTTATTGACCATATTTTCAGTACTCTGCAGATTGGTTAAGGCAAAATCAAAGGATTATTATGTATCTTGATGAAGCTTTCTTTTAAGAAGCAAAATCAATCTGTATTAGAAAGGGAATATTTAGTTAACATGTGTTTGATATGAGAAATGTGAGTGGTGTGTGTTTGATGCGATTATTTTGTGCTTGATGAGTTTTATGTTTAGGGTGAGTGTTTTGTACTATTGTACTGCATAAATATTTACAGATTTCAAAATACCACAACAGACCCTCTTTTGAAAAATTTGATAGACCAGTTATTGCATAGCTTAACAAGTCATCTTCAGTGGACTTTAATGTATAGTATCATAAAGTATTGATCTGAATAACCACTCTTTCAATTTCAGAGACGAATCTCAAGGAGACTCCCGGTTGACATCTGCTAAAGCTCCACTAACTTTACAAAGTTCTTGGAATGTTCTAGGCCAACCACCCCGATATGTGTCACCCTCTAACAGAACTACAAGTGGTAATATACAGAACAGACTCTGGTGACGAAACTTTGTACTGTACATTAGGTCAAAGGATGGAAGATGGAACACCAAAGTTCCTTTTTCCTCAATTGATGTTCAAAAAAGGAATTTTTCCATCTTAATGTAAAATGGAAGATATTGGTGTAGTTTTTACAGATTACTTATTTATTCTGTATTATTAAATGCAAAAATCCATTACAGTACTCATGAAAGGCCAAAGAAAAATTACAATACTTGCCCCTCTAAGGCCCTACCAGAGTTGTATATTTGAATATTCACCGCTGTAAAATGCACAATGCGCTACAATCCATTATGATATATTTAAGCTTTTTTTTAAATATATGTTTTTGGAACACTTATTTGTATTTGAACACATATCAAAATCTAAGCTTTAATGTAAGTTATTGTGAGCAGTGAACAGTGCCTTTTAGTTTTCATTGGTGCATGGTGACTGTTAATATTATTTGCTCAATGTAGTAGTATTTGGAATAATTTCTGTATGATGATATGCTTAGCATAGGGTAACTAATAGCTCTGAGCAGCATGAGGTTGATTTTCCCATGTTCTGTCAATGAGTTAACTTATAAGAACATATGCTATATACAGTAAAACCTGCATACAGTGAACACCTCTTGAGCCACAGAAATGTGTTCACCTGGCCATAAGTTGGTGTTCACTACAGAGAGGCGGGTTTATACAGAAGTCGGTGGAGTATGTGCTGAGAAGGGGTGTTCACAAAGACAGGTTTCACTGTATTGTCATGTCAAATACTTCAGTGAAATTGTCCACAATTCTAAAGCTAAGGCTTAGGAAAATATTTAGGAATGCTATTGATACTAATAACTGAATTTGAAAGTCAAATAAAATTGTTGAGAAAATTGTTTTTGGTTTATATGATATCCAGCAGTATGATATTTTTATATTTTATAGTTCATGACTTTATAAAGTCATGATAAGATATCTATTGTTTGTGCATTTTTATTTTTGTGTACTTACATAAACATGTTTAATCAAATAATGATATATGTATTTGTAATCATTTTTGGATAGTAAATTATCCAAATGAACAGAGTTTAGTAGGCATACTAGTTCAATATTGTAGCCCTCCATTTAAAAGAGATCCAATGCAATAATGAATGCATCCATTGTTTCCATGGGACTCCAAGTGGACTTCATGCATGTGTCCTTCTCCCTGAAGTCCCACGAGGTTCCACCATTCCATTGGTGTATGTTCGGCTTAAATAACTGCATGATTGTATTATTCCACGTGTCTAGTCATTTTAGTAAGGAAAGCAATAATTGTAAATGCTCTCCATTTTATTACATGCCAGGAAAACATTCTATGATCACAGTGAAACCGTCACAAACTTATATTATATTTTTGAATATATTTACTTAATTATGGCTTGATTTAGTTATAGCTAGGTTGAGAAACCAAAGATTTTAAGTCATATATTTATCCAGTGTGTAATTATACAAATGACTTATATTATGATGTTATGACCGTCATATGATGTCATGACTTATTATACAATGTCATGACTTATGAATGATATGGTATCAGCTTTATATAATGTCTTGACATATGATATGCTGTCATTCATTTCTCTCATTTGATGTCATGACTTATGATGTTGTGTTATTACGGTCACATGTATTTACATTATTAGCGATTTTTAACCCTGGAATCGACCATTGAACCAAATTACCACAATCAATGTATGACTTTTTGACCTTTAGTGAGTCATTCAGCCTGATATTACATAAAGGAAGTGGAAGGGATAGAAGTGAGACTATTCACTTCGAAAAAGTTATTACAATTTTTCAATGCAATGTCATGCATATTTTCCAAAAAGGCCAACAGTTCTGTATTTGTTCTAGGAAAATCCTTCGATCCTTAAAATGAAAACAATTTGATAATTTCTGCATCTTTGATGTTCTGTAACTTCTCTGTTTGATCAGTTAATGAAATAAGAATTATAAGGGGAACATTTGCACGTTCTTTTAATTGCTTTCAACATTTTGCAGGACCTATCCCTTCTACCTCCTTTGAATATGTGAATTATATTTGCAGACATATACTATTAGCTCAGTTTTGATGCCTTGAAATTACAAACCCTTTGGTTTTGAGTCAGTCTCTGCATGTTCAGTTGACAAACCTGAGTATGATGTGAAACAATTTGTTATTGTGTTTTATGTAATCGTAATGCATGCAACTGGTTCAACACTAATAAATTGCAAAAGTAAATCAAATATATTAATTTATGTTAATTTTGTGGTGACATATTGTTATAGCCTCCAACTTTTTTGGCCAGCGGTTGTGATCGGCATCTGTAACAAATGACACGTGGAGATATTTTGCATGTTAATTCCTTGTTATGTTATACCATAGACCTCTAACCCCATTGTTATACATATTCATTCATGGGTTGAGGATTTAAACATGGTTACTGATTAAGATCAACAATTTTATTCAGTTGTCCATCTTCTTCGTAAGTTGTGTTGAGTTTTGTCTCCATGGTGAGACGCAGGAAGATGAACTGATGGATGGTCGCTCCTGAGATGGGCGGGTTTGGATTGACCATGAATGGACATGCTTATCAGATGAAATTTTAACCATTGATAGATTATCTTATGACGAGCATCCCTGTATTTTCATGAGTTATCTGGAGGTCATCTGGCGAGTGGTTAATTAACATGCTTGTCCAGAGAGTAAGTTAACCGAGCATAAGTTGACCTGATGGCATCCTTTTAAGATTCTAAGGGGACTATTAAAGGATATTGATATTTAATTTGTATTGTTGTTCTATGTTTACGTGTTTAATGAAATCAAACTAATCTCATGAAATGAAAGCTTGAGATATATAACTGCATTCTAATTTCCTAAATCCCATCTTTAAGGAACTAGAGTAATTATTTATTGGTGAACAAATACGTACGTCTTTGTCTTATTTCCCTATTGAATTAGCAGAGGAAATACACACGATTAATACTATAAATCAAATGTAAATGGCAGAACAGATCTAGTATTACAGATAGATAGCAATCAACATTGTCAACATTTTGGACTGACCTTGCTTATTTAAATCTTAAAGGCCCAATGTAAAGTTTAAACCAATTTTGCCAATATTGTAGTCTTGCCAAGGTCCAATTAAAGCAACAAGGCATAACATGAAATTGTCACCACTTGCAAATGGTTACAAAGTGTAACAATTGGTACAGAAGAAGGTCAAGCAAAGGTCAAAGCTAAAGTCAGATTTGAACTTATGAGAATGTGTGGATGATTTTGAAAATATATTTTTTTTTATTTAGTTATATAAAATAGATGTACATGGGATAATATAGTAGATACAAGAGAGCATATTCAAGTGCTAATCACCAGTTTGGCATTATAAGCACTCTAGCCTAGCGGGCAAAAAGTTGAAGAGCGGTGGAAGGGGGGGGGGGGTCTGAGCTGGGTTGGGACTTGGGAAAATACAGGGCAGAGGGACAATGTAATTTATATTTGCAAGACAAGGCAGGGTAGAATAGGTTAAAGTTCAAGAAAGACTTTTTTACCTTCAATATGTTGCCATGGTAACAGATATTGGAAGAAATATATTTGAACTCATAACATTGTTTATATATGTTGTATATAAGTATATGTATATAAGTTGTAAGACTTTTTTACAGACGCCGAACAACGTCCACGAACAGTTGGAAACCCATGGCTTAAAGTCTTCAGTAAGTTTAGGAAAGGAGTGGTATCGATTTGGAGAACTTTTTGAACGCAAGTTTCTCTTAAACCAGTCATAAAAAATCTAAAAATTTAATACATCGTCAATTTAATGGTCATCTTTTGAATGGTAACAATATAATTTGAAAAGTATATATGTCTACTTCCATCTATATTGTTTTAGAAAACACATCAAACACTTGTTTTGTTCTTAGTATCATGTTTCCAGAGTGAAATGAAACATCTTTCCGAACCTCATTGGAACAAAACGACATGTTTAGGTCTCTCAATATTGTAATTTTACAAAGGAAATTTTGGTTGATTTTAAAAAGGTATCTTGTTAATGAAATAAAAGGTTTATCTTGATTTTTATCTATTTTTTTGGGGAGGGTGTTTTTTAAATTTATGAATACTTTGTTAAAATCAACCAAAAATTCCTTTGTATAACTATAATATTGAGAGGTCTAAAAACATGTTGTATATGCTATTTCGTTCCAACAAGGTTCGGAAAGACATTTTATTTCATTCTCAAGTATTGGTAGAAAGGAGCAAAAACAAGTGCACTAAAAAAAAAATGTTTAACAAAAAGTTATATAAAATATTTCTAAATAATTTTCGCATTATTTTTGTTAATCAGTCAACATCACATAAAATACCGTTTTTACAGAATGTTTTCAATGATTGGTTTAAGAGAAAAACATTGTTGAATTCAGTTCTCCATATCGATACCACTCCTTTCAGGAAAAAATTGACCAAAATCTGACCCTATTGAGTTCAATACAAATCTGGGTTTATTTCTAGGGGAGGGGGGGTATGTCGTCAAGCAAGAGTGATTGGATTAAGGTCATATTTACTTTTTTCCTATGAAAATATTTTTTCCTCTAAATTAAACTCTTAACTCTTAAAAAGCACTCAATCAAATCTCTTTTCCCAAAATTTCTTGGGAGGGAGGACCCGGCAAAACTCACCGCTCGCTTGGCCCGCATCTTTCGCCTAATTTTCAGGAAATTTGAAATTTGTTGCTTTAAGCCATTGGTGATCTTAACCATATGTCACCACTTTTGGTGGTTACATAAAAAGTGAGATTTAAAATGTATTTAAAATTCAAATGTATGAAAATTAAAATATCAACTTTTTTCAAATGTCAACTTTATTTCAAAAATCTCTCAAGCAATTTTGAAGTCATGAACTTGGCCTTGAATTAAACGTAAGTAACACTGATCTATTTTTAAGATAAGACTATATCTAGTAATAAATAACGGCCCAGCAAACTGAAGAAGAATCTCGTCACTTACAGTAAAATTTCGCATCGTTAATTAAGGTACGTAATCAGCTTTTTCAGCTCAATAGGGGCCTTTATGTATTCGTCAACTTGATTTAAGAAACAAGAAAGACAGCTAAAATACAGTCGTTTTATTTTTGAAATTATCAATTAAGTAATCATCCTCGCACGCTCGGTCTTCCCTGCGTTCAGACCGACGGGAGCCGAGTGAGCGAAGATGTCAAATAATGAGACGGGGCCTTTAAGTTCCCGCTTATTTCAAAATTAGTTCTTGCAGAACTTTCTCAGTTCCCGCTGTCTGCATTGGTGATAGCAACACTCGCAGACAACTCCCTTCTTTGAAAACCTCTTGGTGAGAAATGTCTGGGCGGTACGTTTGCTTATACTAAAGTGACTCCTGAAAGAAGGTTTGGGCTCCAAGTTATTCAAATATCTCGTTGTGATCATGTCGTTATCTGAAACAAAAACACAAAGTTCATTAGAGTCATATGCGTCAGCTTCTTAGTCTAGAAAAAATTCTCGGTCCCAAAATTGTTATCTCCCATTGACTCACATACTTAATAAAAACCTTGCAATTTGAAAACCTGCTTATCCAAACACTTTAATGCTGTACAGTAATGTAGCAAATATTTTAACAAAAATTAAATAGAAACAGATTCCATTGTAACAAATACAACTACTGAAAATAGGTTAGTTACAGCGTACTTGTTTCTTCTCACCTAAAGGTATGGTTTGAATGGATCGTTTACCGTTGCCGGTGCCCCCATAAATACCACCAAAGTTACTGCAATACAAGTTGATGATGAATCCTAGGTTGGAGCCGCACATACCAGTAGACACTGGACCTTCCCTCTGAGACTCGTAATTGCAGGTATGATCAAATCCGCCATTTACTTTGTGACACGTTAAAGTCAGCAATAATAGTATGTGCAGCAGTAGTGTTTGTGATCTTAATAAGTTAATCAAGTATTTCCTCATGTTCAGCATATCCTCTCAATCGACAACCCAAGTAGTTTCTACTGTTACAGGTACTCAATGATATCGTTTATTTCTTCTAATTTGTTTGTTTGTTGGTGTACGATTCATAGAAACATTTCACTCTTATTGGAATATGGAACTCGGCGACATCGGACTCTTGTTCGTCAGTTGGCAAATAGGTGGCGCTGGAACCCAGGCTTATTCGTCATAGGAGACAATGACCGAGATCCTAAATGAAAAATACATGTTATTAGTGTTTTAAGTAGTTGTAATGTCAATTCGTCAGAGATTTTGGAAATCGTGTTTTCTGAGATAAAACCATTGTTCATTTACAACAAATGCTGGAGAAAATTTAAAATCCATGATGTCACCATTTATGCAGCTGCGTATCACCCCGGAATAACCTGACAACGGTAAAGTCAGATACCGGTGTCACAGATGGCGGATATAATCGTCGCTTCAATTAAATTTTCATGAACTGCATGTTTAATAGAGCACCTAAACTAAGTTCCTTTGGAACAACAATCAATCAAAGTGTCTTAATACTCATTTTACAGTTAATAATGTTCTACCATCGAAATAATGTCTTTAATTTAACCGATCAAAATGATTGTAGCGATTCACGACCCAATTTGATCGAAATTGGGATTTCATATAAAACATCATCACAAGAGCTTAATACTTGCACGATAAAATCCCATGAAATGAGGACCAAGTGATTAAACAGTTGAAGCGACGATTATGTCCGCCATTTGTGACAACGGTATCTGACTTAACCGTTGTCAGGCTATTCAGGTGTGTGTGTATGTATTCAATGTGCATTCAATAGATGATTATAGTCGAAATGGATGAGTTAAAATATTCCGAAATGTAGGCACAACTGAATCGGAGCAAATCGGTGGTGAAAAGGCGTGTCTTGCTGGCACTAGAACAACACAGCGACTAAATTAGAGCGAACACATTCCTAGGATAAAGAAAAGACCCACGTGATGGAATGCCAATATATCCTATAGTACTGATCAACTATATTCATGCCAAGGGATACTGAACTTTACATAAATAGGACAATTGATTATTACCGAAAATAACATTGAAAGTACATGTAAGTGCGCACATCAATGAAATCCAATACTTTATTGTATCCTTGAGGGGGTGCTTTATTATTTTTTATACAAACAAAATGTTGATCAATCGTAGAATATAAAAAGCTTCCGTCTCATGTCAGCGGATGCTAAGTTCCCCTGGAGTTTATAGTAGTTTATGCCTTTAAAGGGGCAACAAGGACTGTAGTGAGAAAATTCGATCTTTTAAAAAAAATTCTGAGCTATCAGGTCAATATTTGGCTTAAACCTTATTTGCCATATCTTAAAACGTATGTATAAACTATCAATTTCAGCATTAAGAAGTGTAAATTCAGTTCAAAGCTTCTATAAAGAGAGTCCCACTTATAGATTTTAAAGATCCACCACGTTTGAAGAGGAACATCAGTTGAAATAATGTTCATCCAGGGGGTTTCTTTGTAGATAACGAAAATATATGTTAGTCTTGATGAAATATCCAAACTTAAATATATTTTGACACTGGTCGATGATCGTTGAATGACCCCCTGCACTAATTGTTGCACCTTTAAGTTCATAACTCATGATAGAAAATGTTTGAGAGAAACGTATGTCCCGGTGGGAGTCCTATTTATCACAGGCTGGTATCGAAATATTTGTCCGCTGTGACAGAGCATGCTATTTTTCAAAAAACACTAAGAATACTTCACGATTTATTTTTTAACTCATATGTTTCGTTATACCATACAAAATTACTTACTCCATGCAATGGATATATCAGTTGCGGGTAACTTTCACTTCTGTTTGAAGTCCAATTACGCTGGGAAGAAAAGCTATTGAAAATGGCGCCGGAGTATCATACGTGTACTTCAAAATGTACCATTTCTTGTTTAACTTTCTAATGGCACGATATAGTGACACGATAATATTTACACATGGTTTCAGCATAACTATGAAGGTATAAATGAGATGTTGATGTATTTGGTATTTTTAATTCTTTTATAAAAAATAATGTTTATTTTTTTTGTCCGCTGTGACGGAGCAGTTGCAAATGTGAACTGTGAAAATGCTCCGTCACAGCGGACAAAAAATATGAATATTATTTTTTATAAAAAATTAAAAAGACCCAATGCATTAATATCTCATTAATACATTCAGAGTTATGCTGAAAACATATGTTAATATTATCGTGTCACTGTATCATGCCATTAAAAAGTTTAAAAAGAAATGGTACATTTTAGAGTTTGATACTCTGGCGCCGTTTTCAATAGATTTTACTCCTAGCGTTATTGGACTCCAAACAGAAGTGAAGGTTACACGCAAATGATTTATCCATTGCATGGCGTAAGTAATTATCTTTGATATAACGAAACATATGAGTTAAAAAATAAATCGTGAAGCATTCTTAGTGTTTTTATGAAAAATAGCATGCTCCGTCACAGCGGACAAATCTTTCGATACCAGCCTGTGTTTATATACAGGGTGTCAAATAAGTCCCGTCCCCCCCCCCTCTACAGCCAAAACCAAGATATTTGGTACCAAGTGTGATATATCATTGGAAAGGTCTTCCAAAGTTAAGTTGATTGGCATATATCTGACACATGTCAATCGATCTCACAAATTTTTACATTATATCAATTGAGGTGACCATATGCCTAGATACATGGCAATTTGGCGTATTTGGCAGGATTTTAAGAATCGGGTATAAGAAAGGTCAAGGGACCAAAAGATGACTAAATATGTTTATGGCGATGAATTTAACCAATTTCTGGATAGGGTTAGATGAGTAGAAAATAGAGGTGTAAGGAAAGTGTTGAAAACCTTTTTGTAACAAGTGGAATGCGAAAAAGATTAACTTTTTGACATATTTCTGAGGTCATATCCTTGTCATTTTGACGCAAAAAAGTTACTTAAAGGAGGGCACGTTAACTATAAAAGACATCATAAAAATATAGATAAATTTCATCCAAAATACTTGAGAGTTGGTGAGTTAACATAACTTTGGATGATCTTTCCAATGGTATATCACACTAGGTACCGTCTGTTAAGGTTTTAGCTGTAGCAGGGGGGACGGGACTTATTTGACACCCTGTACATTATTTATACCGCCATGATTCCCACGAGCATTCTCAGATGTATTTTTATCACCTTTCTACAATTATGGGCCAAACTGTCCAATATCCAAAATTTTTAATTTCCAATGATGAGAGTGTTTCGATATTTCTTTGAACAGCGCAACCTAGGCTTTCCCCACTCGACTAAATTATGGAGCAAAATTATACATTGGACGATTAACCAGCAATGTACGTGCTAATTCCATCTAAGATATCCATTTGTTGAAAGGCACATTGTTTTCCTAATGCTACTTTTGTCGTTTTATAAACAAAATAAAAATAAACGATAAAACGCAGAATTGACTTTCTTTCCCATCTTCTTAGGCAATATCTGATTTTTTCAATTATCCGATTTTTCAATTTATTCATTGTTATATTTTATTAGTATAGGAATTACTCCCACGGGCAGTGTGGCATCATATCCAAGGAGTTTTGTCATTGCATTGTTGTACTGAACAAAACAGTTTTTCATTCAACCCACGACCGAATATCACTGATCAGCAGAACATTGACGGAAGTTGCAGTAGCTTTCAAAATGGCGGGCTCTTCAATCGAGTTTTGGTTTAAGAATTCTGACTATATCAAATGTTATTGAAACTCGACATGAAAAAAGTTCCCTTTCTCGCGTGATCATACGAAAGCTTCACCCCTTAAGTACGATTGACGCGGACTGCACAGTACGATTAAGCCCATAGAATTCCCATGTATTGTACGTGACCGGTCGTAATTGGTGCAGGGCTAAAAACTAACAGCTGCCTGACTGCAAATGACAACCAGTTTTTACTCTTGGTAATGGACTTGGAAAAACATTTGCCTATTGGGCATTGGACCGAATACTAATATGGTAAATAGATGTACTTGTAAACGAGGGGAAAGTGTACCCGTGTATATACAACCTACCGCCGAGCAAGACACGCATATACCGCCTGTCGAATGTTTGGTTAACTACATCTCATAGGTAAATGGACAATAAAGGTAATATTGGACATCTATCAATTCCCTTGGATGTTTAGAATCGTTACTAAGATGTTCTAGCAGGCGGAATTGGCCTTGAATCATAGTTGAAATATATTTGTCCAAATTAAGAGATAAGTTAAACGTATAATGGTTTTCGATTTGTTTTTCTCATCATACTCGCTTTAATTGATAATGAGCCATACATAAGACATACTTGGGCCGGTAAATGTATGTCATATGTATAATATATTAAGTGTCAAAATATTAGGTCAAAATAGTACTTTTGAACAGCAAAATCTTCACATAAACTTTGTCCTAAAAGATCCGATGTTATCGGACATCGGACCCGATGTGATCGACGAGTAATATTATAAAGATCTGAAAATATCTTGAGTAAATGATCTTAGAATCCGAACATTACTTGAGTAAAATCTGTTGAGATCCGATTATATCGTCGAGTCTATGACATGCTGATGATGAAATAGTGTTAGTGTTACTTTTGGGAGTTTTCGAACCTTGATTTAATTGCCTTTATTGGAAGGGTTACTCGTTATTGATACTATTGTAACATTTTGACCCAGACTGACACAACAGAAATTAGGCTATCAACATTGTAGGATAGGAAAAGCGCGGAATCAATTATGAATGATTTTTCTTCATTTTAGGAGCCGTTGTACTGATATTTTAGTCAAACTTGAGAGCGAATGAATTGCATTTAAATCAATTATTATCCATATTTATGGATAAAAATGAATATGTGTCACGTTCCTAATCTCTACTGGTCAATCTTTTTTCATTTTAGTAGCCTTTTTACTGAAATCTTATTTTATTCAATATTGAGACCTAATTTCTGTTGTGTCAGTCTGGGTTAAAATGTTGCAATAGTATCAATAACGAATAACCCTTCCAATAAAGGCAATTAAATCAAGGTTCGAAAAATAAATATGTGTCACGTTCCTAATCTCTACTGGTCAATATTTTTCATTTTAGTAACCTTTCTACTGATATCTTATCTTATTCAATATTGAGATCGAATGAGCATAACGGGTAAACTTTGCACATTTTAGACCAATCCAAATATATAACTATTTTTCATATGT